GCAGTACATGTGAAAAGGATCTAGGAGTCTTGGTTGACCACAAACTTGACATGAGCCAACAGTGTGACGTGGCAGCTAAAAAAGCCAATGCAATTCTGGGCTGCATCAATAGGAGTATAGCATCTAGATCAAGGGAAGTAATAGTGCCACTGTATTCTGCTCTGGTCAGACCTCACCTGGAGTACTGTGTCCAGTTCTGGGCACCACAGTTCAAGAAGGACACTGACAAACTGGAACGTGTCCAGAGGAGGGCAACCAAAATGGTCAAAGGCCTGGAAACGATGCCTTATGAGGAACGGCTAAGGGAGCTGGGCATGTTTAGCCTGGAGAAAAGGAGGTTAAGGGGTGATATGATAACCATGTTCAAATATATAAAAGGATGTCACATAGAGGAGGGAGAAAGGTTGTTTTCTGCTGCTCCAGAGAAGCGGACACGGAGCAATGGATCCAAACTACAAGAAAGAAGATTCCACCTAAACATTAGGAAGAACTTCCTGACAGTAAGAGCTGTTCGACAGTGGAATTTGCTGCCAAGGAGTGTGGTGGAGTCTCCTTCTTTGGAGGTCTTTAAGCAGAGGCTTGACAACCATATGTCAGGAGTGCTCTGATGGTGTTTCCTGCTTGGCAGGGGGTTGGACTCGATGGCCCTTGTGGTCTCTTCCAACTCTATGATTCTATGATTCTAAGTCATCCGCAAATGCCTTTAATTTGTACGCCCCCCCCCAACTACTATGCCTCTTATCTTCTTGTCTTCTCTTATTTTCTTGTTTAAAATTTCCAGTACTAATATAAATAGGAGTGGGGACAAAGGACACCCTTGCCTTGTCCCATTCCTTATATCGCAACTTTCTGTGATATTACTGTTTATGATCAGTTTAGCTCTTTGCTCCAAATAGATCGCCTAACAGGCTGATAATTCGTCTGGTCCCGGTGACTTCCCAGTGTAGCCTTATTGGAATTCACCAATTGGGTCAGCATTGCTCTGGGACAGGAGGAAGGAAGTCAAACGACACCTGAGGTTGATTCAAAAAAAGAGTTTATTCTGCTCTCCGGATAGCAGAAGGCACTTGCATGATTAGTCCACAGCAAGTCCAAAGAAATGACAAGTTTCATGCAGTATATATATCCTCCAGGCATCCTCTCCCCCTTCCCTAGCTACGTCAGCTTGACATCACATACCGGTATGTTCCTGCTCTGGTACTCTCAACCATAAAAGGATCTTCCTCTTCCTACGCTTATCTGGGACGAGGTAATCATCTCCGGGAACACGCTCTGGCATTTGTTCCCGGACCTGGGTTTGTGTGTCAGAGTGTGTTCAGGATGTAAGATAAAGCACACACGCATCATCCCTGCTGTACTGGAACTTGGCAAGGTCACTCATTGCCGCCATGGACTGATAAGGGAGAGAGCTTTGTTCTTGTTATGGATTTACTCAACGGCTTGAGTTTATGCATTTTAGCTAAGGAAAAATAGGGATTTTGGTGCAATTTAAAACTGCCTGCACAGTCAGTTTTTGGGTTTTGGAAACCCATTCCTTCACCAGATTTGGCATTCTTAATTGCTTGTTGGATTTCCATAGCTGTAATTGGTGCGTTAAGGTGTTGGATTTTTGGCAGGTTGCTTTGTTTTGGAAATTCCTCAATATGTTCCTGATTTTCCACTCCCTTATGATATAATTCTGTGTAATAGTTTATAAAATTCTTACTTATCTCATTCAGTTCTTCTATTGTTTTCTCTCCTATTTTCAATTTATTTATAGTCCTCTCACTTGCCTTTTTTTAAGTTGCCATGCCAGCAATTACCCTGGCTTATTTCCAAATTTGAAGTTCCTATGTTTAAGCCTTTTTATATTCCATTCAACTTCTTGGTTTACAAGTATTGAGTATTCTGTTTGTAATAATTTAATATTCTGCTTGGTTGTTTCACTGCTTGGGTTTTTGAATAATTCTTTTTCCTTTTGGCTTATCTCTTCCAGAATCTCGATCTTTTTCTTTTCTTTCAGTCTTTTTTGTATCACATTTTGATTTTTGAAGAATCCCCTTTACTGGTATCCTAAACAACTTTAATATCTGTGCCTTGATTTAAATTGAATTTAAAGAATCCCTTTAGAGCTTCTGTTGCCTTTTGTAGAACCTTTTCATCATTTAACAAACTTTCATTTATTCTCCATCTCTGTATTTTCCCTTTTCTTTCTCCCCTCAGCTCCATTACCACTGGGTTGTGGTCAGAGATGGTTCTTGGTTGTATTTCGGGGTTTTTTTTAACCTTTATTAACAGTTCATTCGAAACCCAAATGGCATCAATTCGACCCACTGATTGTTTAGGGTCTGGATAATGCGTGAAACTTTTTTCTGTTGAGTGTTGGCATCTCCATTCATCTTTGAGATGAAATTTTCTGTTAGTTGAAAAAGGGTGAGGGGTAGTTTTCCTTCTTTAGTGAGGGGTAATTTCTCTTCCTCTTGTGGTTCTATCGATTTCTGGCGAGGTGACCCCATTTAGATCTCCTGGGAGTATCGTCTTTTCGTCTGCATGTTCTAACATCCCTTGTTTTAGTGATGAATAAAAATCAGCTTTTTCCCATTGGGACAGACTTTTCTTCTTATGAAGAAATTCTGCAAGGCGGTACAGGTTTAGAACGAGAGTTTCCTTCTCCTAGGTGGGCTACCTTCCCAGGTTGATGAGCCCCATCTCTCCCTCACTTCCTTCTTCAGCATGTGTAGAAACCGCCTTCTTAACCATTGGACCCACTGTTGGTCTCATCTGCTCAATATGCTGGAGCCTGTCTTTGCATGCAGGGGAAGCCTCTTACTCACTGAGGATTTGAGACTCATCAGCTCCCCTCACCTGGTTTAGCCAGCCAGTGGAAGCCATTCCTAGGGTGTGGCAAATGTTGCATGCTGATGGCTTCTAGGTGCCACAGGTTAGAGCTGAGTAGAGGGTGGGGATGAAAGGTGAACATACTACCTCAGAAGGAGCATGACGTGTTCCCCACCTCTCTCCCTCTCCCCAACCTCTCCCCTACCACCCCATGTACCCTTCATAGAATTACAGCAAAAAAATTAAGGAAACCGTGCACCCTACCCCATGCGGCTTACACTTTAAAGTCTGGCAGTGGGGAGAGACTATAGGGAGAGTGGAGATGGGATAAGCCATGCTAACAAGGGATCTATGTTAAGACAAATGTTTCACCATATAAATGGCTTTGGGGCGGGCGGGGGTTGACTGGGGAAAGCAGCAAGAGAGATGGCACCACTTCAATATCCCAGGAAGGAATTCCTAAGTGTTAAATATTTATGAAACACTGTGAAACAGTCCACATCCCTCATGGGTTGGTGGATATTTTCTCATATTTTAGTCTCTTGTTTTTTCACAGTACTCCCCACTACCTGCAAAAAAAGCTTTCTATATTTCAGGAAATTCACTGAAGTTAAGTGAATGAAAAGCATGTGAAATCACCTTGTTTCCAGTTTTCTTGTTTCCATATGAAATATAAATGACTGGAGAGGATATTGCTTAAGCCATAAAACAAATTGACACAGTAATTTATTAATACCAAAGGCATCCTTCATTGTAGTTAAGCAGCATCAAGAGCTGGAAATAGCATAGTTTCTCACAAAGTATTGCCAATATGTCAAAGGAAAGACTTGTTGCAATTTCAGCATGTATGAAGATTCCCTTTGCAGATGCCAACACGTGAAGACCATGACTTTGGCCTCTCACATAGGCTGCATAATTATTGTAAAAGCTCAAACAATTGTATTTATTAAGAATATTAAAAAACCCATTCTTCATGGTACACTGCCATGTGGATCTACCTGTGGCAGCATTCCTGCATTGGAAGTGCAACAGCAGAGATCATTCCATGTGCAACTAAAGGGTTAACTATGTCAGTGTTGAAGTCAAATGGAGGGGGTGGATTGTGTTGCTTAGCAACCAGGCAGAGTGGAATGATGTTTGCAGAAGTAGCACCTGTCCTGATTGCTTTTGTAGGTCTTCAGAAGTTTTCTCTCTCTCTGTTTAGTTAAATGTCTCCCTGCTATGTACAAGGCCTGAAGTAAGGACAAAGCCCCTCTGTTCCTTTTCTCCTCAGATTATACATTTTCTGTTCAGTTTCCTCAGTAAAGTGTTCTTGGGATTTCTTTCCCCTCTCAACTCCGTATGCATTACGTGGTGTCATTAACATACTGAGTATTCAGTGCTATGCAGTTTGTCAGGTCCCTTCCACAGCAAACATAACTGCAGTTACATTGGAACTACTCCTTTTGTGCTCTGAGCTTGACTTGTAGCACATTTGCCAAAGAGGCCACCCTACTGTTCTAATACGGTTTATTATGTCCACCTTCTTTGTCCAGTGATGGGCAAGGTCAAGTAAATAAATAAATATTTGAAATGAATTAATGTTCCTGAATAGTCCAACATGCAGGGTGTTAATGAGTCCTTTGCAACAGCTGTTGTTTCTTTAATGGGGGAGGGGACACAGGCCGGCCTGTTGATGCCAGTGACATTGTGCAGATGTTTCAAAAAAATGTGTATGTGGAGCATCTATTCCCACAACAACACCCACAGAGCTTGGATAAGAAAGAGCTTTCCTGGACATACAGGTCAAAGCTCTCCCTCATTTAAAAGTTTGCATTAGGCTGATATTGAAGTCATGGGTTGGGGGCAGGCAATGGGACAACCCAAACATCTGTGCCGTAATTATTTTAGAAATACCATGTTAATATTGCTACTAAATTACAATGAAACTTTAAAAAGGCATTACAGCTTCCTCTTTCTCAAATTTTAGTATTTCATAAAACACATTTTATTTTATTATTATTATTAATTAAATTTGTATACTGCCCTTAATCCAAAAGATCTCAGGGCGGTTCACAGCATAAAAGAACAAACTAAAAATATAAAATACATGCAGTACTTTGACCCTTGCTCTTTCCAAATCTCACCCTCCTTTTCCCGTTCATACTCTACAACGTGTGCGGTAATTGTCATCCCAGAACAATTCCTAGCAGAGCGACGCGCCCCAGGAAGTCGCCTCCATTCTCACGTGCAAAGCTCCCTCGGGCACGTCGGAGCCGGCGGTCGGTCGGCCGGCGCAGGCGGTTGGCAGTCCGCTACCCCCTCGGATCCCCCCTCTTCTCCGGGCTATATGTGGCGCCTGGAAGCTCCCAATGTTTTCCATATTTGTGCAGCCTCCGCGAGTCAAATGCCAGAGACGCGTCGGCCGGCAGCCCCGAAGGAGAGGCGCGCCCGCCCGCCGCCGGCCTGGTTCTTTGGAGTCCTCCCGGCAGCTGAGCAGCATGGGCAAAGAAGAGACGGCGGCCCCTCGGCAGGCCGGGCCGGAGGGAGGCGGCGAGCGCGGAGGAGCGGCCCGGCAGGCGAAGGAGAGCCGCGGGGATCCGCGCCCGTGCTGCGGCTGCCGCTTCCCGCTGCTGGCGGCCCTGGGGCAGCTGGCTCTGGGCGCCGCGGTGGCGGTGCTGGGCTTCCTCATGGCCGGCGTCAGCTCGTCCCTGCTGGTCAGAGACACGCCGTACTGGGCGGGCCTCCTCGTAAGCATCGCCGTCTGTTTCTCCCTGCGGAGCGCCTCGGCCCGCGCGCGCGCACGAAACGCGCCCTAACGCCCCGACTAACCAGCTGCCCGCGCGGCCCTCGAGACGCGGCTCGGGCTGGAGCTCAGCTAACCTTTAACAACAGCAACAACAACAGCTGCCCTGCAGTGGTTGTTTGTATCCATTTTACATGCAAAAAAGGAAGTGGAAATAACGTGTTACTTTAGAGCAAACATCATAGGAAGCTGGGAAGACGGGGAAGTAACACCCTTAGATTTGCTGCGTGCATCGTTTAGCAGACTTCTAGATTTGGATTGCAGTGCAAGGATTGCTCCATGGCTGAAAGGTGGGGGTTATATGTGGTTCTGGCACATGCACGCCTGTACCCTTGCCAAGGGAAAGGGAATGAGAGGCAAGGGACGAGAATTAACGTTTTGATCCGAAATGACAGAGGAGAAGTGCATGAATGCTCCTGTTGCTTTCACGCTGCGATGAGTTGTTGGTCTTTTCTAAAGAACTGTCTGATCTGTTTTGCGCTTCGCCCAAGCCTCCTTTGCCACAGCCGAGGGCACTTTGGCTCTTGCCGAGCCGAAGGGTTAAATTTGAAATGCAAATAAGCGAGTTTAGGGGGAGGGGAAGGACGGGGATATGCGCCAATCCCGGAAATTCGGACTCGCCCAGCGACACGCTGCCTTGCCATACCTTGTAGCAGACAGTAGCAGACTGGCAAGGCTATTTGTGATCATGTAAAACACGTGGTCCGCGGGGGCAGACAGCGCGAACCCAGCAAAGGCGTGCGCGCTCATTCCAGTCATGGGTTGTGTTTCACAGCTGATTTGCTGTTAATGAAATAGAGAGGGGGGAATTAGGCCATGTGAAGCCTTGTCTCTTGAGATACTTTGCTGTATGATGCATTTTTTAATGTTTTGTTCAGTGCTCGTTCCAAGTGAGTTCCTGCCAGATTCTGGAGGCTGATGATTCTGAATTTTACAAATAGATCATCAGGGCCCACCACACTCACATTGTTTTAAAATTCAATGGATTCTCCATGTGCCATATACTACTGAGTTTACTATTTATATTAGCTGAAGGCCCACCAAGTTTGCCATGGTGGGGTGGAGTGCCCGTCTTTCCTCCAGCTTGCCCCCCTGCTTGTGCCATCCACACCCTTGCATCCATTTTGGAGGGTGTTGCCTCACTAAGGCCCTCAGGAAGCCTGAATGAAAAGATAAAGGGCATAAACTTGGGCAAAATTGGAGTGAGTCCTGAATGTGGCCCTGTTCGTCCCAGCACTCCTTTTCAAGTGCCAGAAATTCAGTGGGAAACGCTGATAATCCAGACGTATCCTGTTTGCATAACAGTACAATATTGCCCATTTTCCCTGATTCTTGGCTATGTTGGAGAATGGCATGTTGTACAGTGGTACCTCTGGTTACGTACTTAATTCGTTCCAGAGGTCCCTTCTTAACCTGAGGTACCACTTTAGCTAATGGGGCCTCCCGCTGCAGTCGCGCGATTTCTCTTATCATCCTGAAGCAAAGTTCTTAACCCAAGGTACTTGTCAGAGCTGCCTCAGGTCCCAGCTCACAGAGGACCAACGCCAGTCCGTTGTTACATAAAATAGTCTTTATTGAAGTTCAGTTTCTCATTTACAGCCACGGCGCGCAGCTCTACGTCTTAAACCCTAGACCGCCGAAGCTCCGTCTGAGTCTCCTCCCCCCAGACACCAGTTTAACACCCTAGCCTTGCTCCACCTCTTCCTTTGTTCTTTCCTCCTCTGGGTCCGCCTGTCCGCCGGGGTTTTCCCCTTTCTAGACTCTTCTGACGCTGAGTCCCCCGAGTCTTCCCCCTCCCTCCGGCGGGCTTTAGGACCTGGTTCCCAATCCGGGCTTCCTGCTGTCCTGCGCGCCTGTACATTTGAACTTGGCGCGCGCGCCCAGCCTGCCACCTTCCTTCTGACCGTTATACTGCTCCTGTCGCTGCTCCCCTCTTCGGGGACGCTAGCTGGGCCTGACTCCTCCTCCCTGCTTGCCGGAGGAGACGCTGACTCTGACCTATGGGGCTCTTCCTCCCCACTACGCTCTGGTGGGGAAGCTGGCCCTGATTTCCAGCTACTGCTTTGGGAGTCTCCGCTGGCCCCCTGCTTCTGGTGTGTCCCCCCTGGGACCCCCCTTGCCCTGGCCATCGGCGCCCCCTTCTGGGAATCTTCTGATTCACTGGAGAGGCTCATGGAATCTCTCGGGTCACTGTCATTCTGCCCTCCGCTGCCCTCAGATTCCTCCCCTCGCTCTCCATTTCCTCTCTCCCCTGTGCCTCTGCTCCTGAGCCCCTGACAGTACTATTTCTGGGTTAGCGGAGTCTGTAACCTGAAGCGTATGTAACCCGAGGTACCACTGTATATGTTTTTAATCTGATCCTTCCTCCAAGGAGCAAAAGGTGGCACAATGCAGCCTCTCTCACAGAGATATGCAGTTAAGTTTTTTTCAGATTACACCCATGAACATGGTTAAGGCCATTGATTTCAATAGATCTACCCTTGAGTAAAACTTAGTTGCACACATCTCTTTCCCTTCCTTCCTTCCTTCCTATACCACATTTTAGTCTGCAACCATGCAAAGTAGATTGGGTTGCCCTTTCTCATTTTAATTATCTTTGCAATAGTTCTGTGAAACAGATTCAACTGAGGAATTGTGATTGCCCAAGATCACAGGGCAAATCTGACTGAGTGCATATTTCAGCCTTGTCCATGTTCAGCCCTCCATCCACCATGTGAGACTATGTGAATGCAAGGACACTGAATCAGTGCCATCTCTATGACTAGGATGTAACTCAGTTGCAGAATATGTACTTTGCTTCTGAAAGTCCCAGGTTCATTTTCTCACATCTCCTGATCCTGGTGGGGTGGGGGAATAACCTTATCCAAAACCCTAGTCAGCTTCTGGCAGTCAGTGTAAAGTGCAGATCTAGATGCAACCATGGTCTGACTTAGTGTAAAGTGTAGGAAGGGCTCTGTTGCCTTCATGATCTACTTTGAAAACAGGATGCTCTCCTTCCTTTGAGGTTTTTAAGCAGAGGTCATGTATGATTTAGCTGACATTCCTGTGTTGCAAGGGGTTGGACTAGATGACCCTCTGAGTCCCTTCCAACACTACAATTTTGTGATTCTATGATGGGACAGTGATCTGTTCTAACAGGGCTCTTGTGCTCTTATATTGTTTCCTATAAATGATGCTGAAAATGCCTCAGCCCCTCTCCTCAATTTGTGCCAATTGTGAATGCTGCTGATGCAATATAGAAATTTAAAATCAATTCCACTTCCTAGCCAATTTAGGTTTTACAGTCTCTGAACAGAGTATTAAAGTACAATAAGTTCTTTAGTTAAAATATCCAAATGTTTTCTATTTTCAATCAAGAACTCTTGATCCAGCAGTAGTAGGGAGTGAATTAGATTATCACCCAAATTCAAGGCTGTGTGTATACACTTGCATGTATGTCACTGGATTACTTGAGATGTGATGATTCACAGCTGAGTGTGTGAATTGTCTAATTGTCTGGGGGGGGGATATATGGGTTGATTTGGTTGTCACATTTATATCTTAATTATAGGAGCTCAAGGTGGTTTGCTGCATGGCTCTCCTGCTTTCATTGTTCAAAGCCTGTGAGGTAGAGTATAATGAGAAATAATGACTGGCTCAAAGAGCTGGATTGTTGTTGTTTAGCCGTTTAGTCGTGTCCGACTCTTCGTGACCCCCTGGACCAGAGCACGCCAGGCACTCCTGTCTTCCACTGTCTCCTGCAGTTTGGTCAAACTCATGTTGGTAGTTTAGAGAACACTGTTCAACCATCTCGTCCTCTGTCGTCCCCTTCTCCTTGCGCCCTCCATCTTTCCCAACATCAGGGTCTTTTCCAGGGAGTCTTCTCTTCTTATGAGGTGGCCAAAGTATTGGAGCCTCAGCTTCAAGATCTGTCGTTCCAGTGAGCACTCAGGGCTGATTTCCTTAAGAATGGATGCGTTTGATCTTCTTGCAGTCCATGGGAGTCTCAAGAGTCTCCTCCAGCACCAGAATTCAAAAGCCTCAATTCTTCGGCAATCAGCTTTCTTTATGGTCCAGCTCTCACTTCCATATATCACTACTGGAAAACCATAGGTTTAACTATATAGACCTTTGTTGGCAAGGTGATGTCCCTGCTTTTTAAGATGCTGTCTCGGTTTGTCATTGCTTTTCTCTCAAGAAGCAGGCGTCTTTTAATTTCGTGACTGCTGTCACATCTGCAGTGATCATGGAACCCAAGAAAGTAAAATCTCTCACTGCCTCCATTTCTTCCCCTTCTATTTGGCAGGAGGTAATGGGACCAGTGGCCATGATCTTCATTTTTTTGATGTTTTGCGCTCTCCTCTTTCACCCTCATTAAAAGGTTCTTTAATTCCTCCTCACTTTCTGCCATCAAGGTTGTGTCATCTGCATATCTGAGGTGGTTAATACTTCTTCCGGCAATCTTAATTCCGGCTTGAGATTCATCCAGCCCAGCCTTTCTCATGATGAATTCTGCATATAAGTAAAACAAGCAGGGAGACAATATACAGCCTTGTCATACTCCCTCCCCAATTTTGAACCAATCAGTTATTCCATGTCCAGTTCTAACTGTAGCTTCTTGTCCCACATAGAGATTTCTCAGGAGACAGATGAGGTGATCAGGCACTCCCATTTCTTTAAGAACTTGCCATAATTTGCTGCGGTCGACACAGTCAAAGGCTTTTGCATAGTCAATGAAGCAGAAGTAGATGTCTTTCTGGAACTCTCTAGCTTTCTCCATAATCCAGCGCATGTTTGCAATTTGGTCTCTGGTTCCTCTGCCCCTTCAAAATCCAGCTTGCACTTCTGGGAGTTCTCGGTCCACATACTGCTTGAGCCTTCCTTGTAGAATTTTAAGCATAAACTTGCTAGCGTGTGAAATGAGTGCAATTGTGCGGTAGTTGGAGTATTCTTTGGCACTGCCCTTCTTGGGATTGGGATGTAGACTAATCTTCTCCAATCCTCTGGCCACTGCTGAGTTTTCCAAACTTGCTGGCATATTAAGTGTAGCACCTTGATAGTATCATCTTTTTAAATTTTAAATAGTTCAGCTGGAATACCATCACTTCCACTGGCCTTGTTATTTGCAGTGCTTTCTAAGGCCCATTTGACTTCACTCTCCAGGATGTCTGGCTCAAGGTCAGCAACCACACTACCTGGGGTGTACGAGACATCCATATCTTTCTGGTATAATTCCTCCGTGTATTCTTGCCACCTCTTCTTGATGTCTTCTGCTTCTGTTAGGTCCTTACCACTTTTGTCCTTTATTATGGTAATCTTTGTACGAAATGTTCATTGTTCTAAGCCTGTGAGGTAGAGTATAATGAGAAATAGAAATGAGAAAGGGCTGGATTATAATGGTGCAAATGCATGCATGGGGCTGTCCAGGCGCTGAGCTTTCATTTAAAGAGAGAGAGAGAGAGAGAGAGAATCTAGCTCTCCTAGAAGAAAAGTTATGAAACAAAATGGACAGGCAAACCACTAAGCCAGTTTTTTCCTCAAAATGTTCATGCTCCCCTAGCTGTGCCAAAAGGGCTGGATAAGACTAAAGTTTTGGAAATGTACTGCCATTTAGCAATTTAATTTAATTGGGAATATACCCAAGACCACATCTTCAAACCTTTCTGACAATCTTGACCTCTCTCTCTCTCTCTCTGTTCTCCTCCATGCCTCTTGTCACCTCTAGCTCTCTGTGTTTTCTAATGCCTGTCCTTGGTAAAGCCTGGTCCTGTTTTTGTCTTGGGGAAATTTGGGTGCATACTACTACTACTACTACTACTACTACTACTACTACATTATGGTGCATATGTGTACTAAAATTTGTTTTAGCCTCATCCCCCAAGCAACTAGAAGTTAAATATGTATATGTTGTGATAGTGACATACTAGATTCCAGACATATCTGTGATTTCAGCATAAAGGAACAAAATTCTGAAAATACTTTGTATCTGAAAGCACCCTGCTTAATTTTGCTAACTGACTTTTAAACCAAAAAGACCAAACAAGCAGCATTACAAAGGGGAAAATTAAGATATCATATGTCTGACTCTGAAAACAATATGTATTCTAGAGCAGATTGTGCTCCTCTCTGGCGTCTGCTTATTAAGGCAGAAGTGAGCAATGGTTCCTTTCTTGGCAGTGAAGCAGAACACAGAGGCAGCATGGTTAAAATATCAGCATGCTTGTTTTAGCAACATCCCACTCAAGTGCGCTCTGCCCCCTCCCCTCGCTGCAGCACCCCCACCCCACACACCAGTATTTGATTAGCATTCCACTTGGCCAACCATAGAAGAACTTCGAAACCAATACTTTTTTTCTGCAAAATTAGCTGCACATAATAGGCTCAGCTCATCCCTGTTGGGATTACCTCAGGGGTGACTTTGTCTTCCTGACTGCTGCTAACATGCTATGACAGAAAAGTGAAGGGAGAATTCTAATGTGCTAAATAGAGCCTGATTTACTGAAGGGATCTTTGCTTTATTAGTGGCAAAACTGTCATACTGCTCCATGCTGAAAATCAAGTGCTTTAGTCCATTAGTATGAATAAAGGGGAATTCAGCCAGTGAAGCAACAAGAGCCAAATGTTCACCACACGCAAAAATTGGAACTGGGATTCATTACTCATTTTAAAAAATCTTGACTTTCTGTAATAAGTTTCAAAAATTTGAGAATAAAATATGGGATAATTTATGGTTTAACTGTCTTTTTATGCTTTCAAGGTCATAAATAGGACTGTGAGGGCGAGGGGACAAGTGGTGGAACTGAGGGTACTGCTATTATTATTTTTTAAAAAGATTGATGTCAGAATAAATGAAGCAATTTGAACACATTTCTTCCTTGCTGGCAAAATAAGGGTATTGCAGAATTTTGGATTTTTGACATGGAATTGAACAGTGAAAAGGAAAGAGTAAACATTTTTTTAAAAAACTTGTGGACTAGGAGCGATGACAAAGCCTTTTGGTGGTAAAAGTGTGTCTAGGTAGTGCCACTTCAAATGGCAGGTGTATGTTGGCATGGTCCTCCACCTTCCCCCCCCCCAAATATGCCCGCCCCCGCCCCCCACTCTATATCGGGGGCAAGAATAGTGTGTCTGGAAACTTCTCTCTATCATTTAGGGCTCATTCACATATAATACTAAACCATATTTGCCATTTCCAAGAGGGCTTGCCTGCAACTTTCCACTTTCCACTCTTCTAAGACTTGTTTGTGACTGAAAGGGCAAACCATTTGCCTGCAAACCAGAGTCAAACCCTGGTTTGCAAGCAGGTGAAAATTATAGAATGCACAGCATGTGAGCCTGATACTCCTGAGGGCTTGACACATACCACTATGGGAGGGTATTCCAGAAGGCCCGGTCATGGGTCATGGGCAGCAGCACTCAGCAGTGGCACCGGAGGGTCTCCCCTGCTGATGGAGGGGAATGACTGCTTTATGGTTCATATTTTGCTGCTGTTTTGTAGGCTATTTTTTATTGTATTTTCTTTATATTTACTGAGTGGTATCCAATGGTGTCTGTCAACTGACAAGAAGAATCCATGAGTGGAATAGGGCAGAGATGCAATTTTCAGGTATCCCTTTATTGTTCCAAGATCGTAAGACATCTTGGAAACTGCTGAAGGCAAGGCTGATTTTAAATATTTCTGTCAGTTAAATTAATCAGTAGTTGGCTACGACCTTGCCAGTTTCTGGATGGATTATGTGGATGGGCCTGTGCAAATGTGGACTCCATGTCACATGAATTGTGAATAGGGTGGACAGGTGCACCTGTGCATGGGTGGACAGGTGCATGGCTGACTCCTAGGCTCCTCTGTGTATAGGACCGTGGTGCCACAGAGCCCTGTGTAATGCAGCCCAGAGCGTTTTCAACCTGGTTCATACGTTGCTCAGCTCTTCAGGTGCTTCTGTACCTGAGGTTTATATACCATTTGGCTATAGTTGTATATGATATCACTAAGATATGAGCATTAGGCAGATCATGTTAATTGAATTAAAGGCTTCATGTAGATGGTAAAGAACAAGGACACACAGGATTAAACCTGAGAAGCACTGTGCAGATTTGAGGAGAACCCCTGCAGGACCATGTTTCAATGGTGTTACTTCCCTTGGCAACTCTGTCAAGGATGAATATAGATGAGGGGTTGTATCCTGCTAAGTCATACTCAGAGCAGAACCACTGAGATCCGCTCCTTCCTCCTGGGCCGTGTTCAGAAAGTGGTGGTGGGGGATGAGTGTTCAGACCCCTGGGCCCTCACTTGTGGGGTGCCTCAGGGTTCTGTCCTCTCCCCCATGCTTTTCAACATCTACATGAAGCCGCTGGGAGAGATCATCAGGGGATTTGGGCTGGGTCTTCATCAGTATGCGGATGATACCCAGCTCTACCTCTCTTTCAAATCAGAACCAGTGAAGGCAGTGAAGGTCCTGTGTGAGTGCCTGGAGGCGGTTGGAGGTTGGATGGCGGCTAACAGATTGAGGTTGAATCCTGACAAGACAGAAGTACTGCTTTTGGGGGACAGGAGGCGGGCAGGTGTGGAGGATTCCCTGGTCCTGAATGGGGTAACTGCCCCTGAAGGACCAGGTGCGCAGCCTGGGAGTCATTTTGGACTCACAGCTGTCCATGGAGGCACAGGTCAAATCTGTGTCCAGGGCAGCTGTTTACCAGCTCCATCTGGTACGCAGGCTGAGACCCTATCTGCCTGCGGACTGCCTCGCCAGAGTGGTGCATGCTCTGGTTATCTCCCGCTTGGATTACTGCAATGCGCTCTACATGGGGCTACCTTTGAAGGTGACCCGGAAACTACAACTAATCCAGAATGCGGCAGCTAGACTGGTGACTGGGAGCGGCCGCCGAGACCATATAACACCGGTCTTGAAAGACCTACATTGGCTCCCAGTACGTTTCCGAGCACAATTCAAAGTGTTGGTGCTGACCTTTAAAGCCCTAAACGGCCTTGGTCCAGTATATCTGAAGGAGCGTCTCCACCCCCATCGTTCTAGCCCGGACACTGAGGTCCAGCACCGAGGGCCTTCTGGCGGTTCCTTCACTGCGAGAAGCCAAGTTACAGGGAACCAGGCAGAGGGCCTTCTTCGGTGGTGGCACCCGCCCTGTTGAACACCCTCCCACCAGATGTCAAAGAGAACAACAACTACCAGGCTTTTTAGAAGACATCTGAAGGCAGCCCTGTTTAGGGAAGCTTTTAATGTTTGATGTATTATAGTATTTTAATATTCTTTTGGAAGCCGCCCAGAGTGGCTGGGGAAGCCCAGCCAGATGGGCGGGGTATAAATAATAAATTATTATTATTATTATTATTATTATTATTATATTATTATTATTTATTATTCATCATCATCATCATCATTCATCATTTCATCTCCCCCTCCCTTGGGACTCACCAGAATCTCTTGGAGGTCCCCTGGGAGGGAACGCTCAGAGGTTGTGGGGAGGGGATGCAGGAGACAACCTGACCAGGTCAACCGTCCATCTTCCCCCTTCCATCCTTGCTAGCTTTGCAGGATCCGTTCTCTTTCATCCTTCCTGAGGAGTCAAGGAGCCCAAAAGAAGTGGAGGGTCCTGGGAGAAGAGGAAGAAGCAAAGGGAGACCTCAGAGGCCCTGCAGGGATTTTCTGGCTGGAGGGGAAGCCTCCCAATATGTTGGGAGCCCCATCCTCAGCAAAATCCCTGCTTTATCTCATTTCTGGCCAGAGAACTTTCCCTCTTCACCCTCCATCCCTCCATGTTCCCATCTCCCCTCCCCTGGAACTCACCAGATCTCTCGGAGGTTCCTGGGAAGGAGCGCTCAAAAGTTGTGGGGAGGGATGCAGGAGACAACCTGACCAGGTCTACCGTCCATCTTCCCCCTTCCATCCTCACTAGGTTTGCAGAATCCATCCCTTTTATCTTTCCCGAGGAGTCAAGGGGCCAAAAGAAGCTACAGGGTCCTGGGAGAGAGGAAGAAGGAAAGGGAGCCTCAGAGGCCCTGCAGGGATTCTCCTGCCCCTGGAGAAGCACAAATGGGGCGGCCCCTTCCCAACAGAAGCCCCATTTCTATACCTCTCCAGTGGTGCCAATAAATCAGATAGGCTACTTGCGTGGCAATTAAAGAAGAAAAAAAAGAGAGAGTAATTGAGAAATGAAAACTAATTGAAGATCCTAAAGAAATATGCAAAAAAAAATTCAATTACTATGGGAAATTTTACCATGAAGAAGAAGAAGACGAAGAGGAAATGGAAAGATACATAGCACAAAATAGACTCCCGACAATAGCAGATTAGAAAATAGAACTAAATCTACCAACAGCGATGATGGAGGTGCAGCAGTCAATCTCAAAAGCAAAGATAGGAAAGTCCCCAGGTAAGGATGGATTATCGGCGGCATTTCATAAGAAGTTAGAAGATATATTATCAGAACCAATGAAACAGTACTGGACCAAATTTTAAAGGAAGGAAGAATACCAAAATCATGGGAAGAAGCACTTATCACACTGATACCCAAACAAGGAGCAGATCCAACACTAATCAAAAATGATAGACCTATATCATTGTTCAATAATGATTATAAAATATATTGAACGAAATAATACACATAGATCAAGCTGACTTCTTACCAAGCAGACACATGCACAATAAAATGAGAAACATAATTGATATTTTCCCCTTCATGGATCACTGCCTTGCCATGACGAAGGGGCTTGAATAACTCAGAGACGCTATGAGCTAAGCTGTGCAGGGCCACCCAAGATGGACAGGTCATAGTGGAGAGTTTAGACCAAACGTGATCCACCTGGAGGAGGAACCGGCAAGCCCCTCCAGTAGCCCTGCCAAGAAAACTCCATGGACAAAGACAACAGGCATATAAAAGTGATGACACTGGAAGACGAGCCCCTCAGGTCAGAAGGCGTCTAACATGCTACTGAGGAAGAGCGGAGGACAAGGACAAGTAGATTCAGAGCTGATGAAGCGGCTGGGCCAAAGCCGAAAGGACGCTCAGTTGCGGATATGCCTGGAAGTGAAAGCAAAGTCCAATGCTGTAAAGAAAATTATTGCATAGGAACCTGGAATGTAAGAACCATGAACCTGGGTAAGTTGGAGGTGGTCAAAAATGAGATGGCAAGAATAAATATTGACATCCTGGGCATCAGTGAACTAAAATGGACAGGGATGGGCGAATTCAGTTCGGATGACCATCATATCTACTACTGTGGGCAAGAATCCCGTAAAAGAAATGGAGTGGTCCTCATAGTCAACGAAAGAGTGGCGAAAGCTGTATTGGGATGCAATCTCAAAAATAATAGAATGATCTCGATACGAATCCAAGGCAGATCTTTTAACGTCACAGTAATCCAAGTTTATGCACCAACCACTGGTTGCTGAAGAAACTGAAATTGACCAGTTCTATGAAGACTTACAAAACTTTATAGAAGTGACACCAAAGAAGGATGTTCTTCTCATTATAGGGGATTGGAATGCTAAAGTAGGGAGGCAAGAGATAAAAGGAACAACTGGCAAGTTTGGCCTTGGAGATCAAAATGAAGCAGGGCAAAGGCTAATAGAGTTCTGTCAAGAGAACAAGCTGGTCATCATAAACACGCTTTTCCAACACACAAGAGACGACTCTACACATGGACATCACCAGATGGGCAGCATCGAAATCAGATCGATTATATTCTCTGCAGCCAAAGATGGAGAAGCTCTATACAGTCAGCAAAAACAAGACCTGGAGCTGACTGTGGCTCAGATCATCAGCTTCTTATAGCAAAATTCAAGCTTAAACTGAAGAAAGTAGGAAAAACCACTGGACAGGTAAGATACAATCTAAACCAAATCCCTTATGAATACACAGTGGAAGTGAGGAACATGTTTAAGGATTTAGATTTGCTGGACAGAGTGCCTGAAGAACTATGGATGGAGGCTTGTAACATTATACAGAAGGCAGCAACGAAAACCATCCCAATGAAAAGCAAAGTGGCTGTCCAACGAGGCCTTACAAATAGCGGGGGAGAGAAGGCAAGCAAAATGTGAGGGAGATAGTGAAAGATACAGGAAATTGAATGCAGATTTCCAAAAAATAGCAAGGAGAGACAAGAAGGCCTTCTTAAACGAGCAATGCAAAGAAATAGTGGAAAACAACAGAATGGGAAAAACCAGAGATCTGTTCAAGAAAATAGGAGATATGAAAGGGACATTTCGTACAAAGATTACCATAATAGAAGACAAAAGTGGAAAGTACCTAACAGAAGCAGAAGACATCAAGAAGTAGCAAGAATACACAGAGGAATTATACCAGAAAGATATGGATGGCTCGTACACCCCAGGTAGTGTGGTTGCTGACCTTGAGCCAGACATCCTGGAGAGTGAAATCAAATGGGTGTTAGAAAGCATTGCTAATAACAAGGCCAGTGGAAGTGATGGTATTCCAGCTGAACTATTTAAAATTTTAAAAGATGATGCTGTTGAGGTGCTACACTCAATATGCCAGCAAGTTTGGAAAACTCAGCAGTGGCCAGAGGATTGGAGAAGATCAGTCTACATCCCAATCCCAAAGAAAGGCAGTGCCAAAGAATGCTCCAACTACCGCACAATTGCACTCATTTCACATGCTAGCAAGGTTATGCTTAAAATTTTACAAGGAAGGCTCAAGCAGTATGTGGATCGAGAACTCCCCGAAGTGCAAGCTGGATTTAGAAGAGGCAGAGGAACCAGAGACCAAATTGCAAACATGTGCTGGATTATGGAGAAAGCTAGAGAGTTCCAGAAAGACATCTACTTCTGCTTCATTGACTATGCAAAAGCCTTTGACTGTGTCGACCACAGCAAACTATAGCAAGTTCTTAAAGAAATGGGAGTGCCTGATCACCTCATCTGTCTCCTGAGAAATCTCTATGTGGGACAAGAAGCTACAGTTAGAACTGGATATGGAACAACTGACTGGTTCAAAATTGGGAAAGGAGTACGGCAAGGCTGTATATCGTCCCCCTGGTTATTTAACTTATATGCAGAATTCAACATGCAAAAGGCTGGGCTGGATGAATCCCTAGCCGGAATTAAGATTGCCGGAAGAAACATCAACAACCTCAGATATGCAGATGACACAACCTTGATGGCAGAAAGTGAGGAGGAATTAAAGAACCATTTAATGAGGGTGAAAGAGAAGAGCGCAAAATATGGTCTGAAGCTCAACATCAAAAAAACCAAGATCATGGCCACTGGTCCCATCACCTCCTGGCAAATAGAAGGGGAAGAAATGGAGGCTGTAGTAAAGTTAGTGTTTGTTTAGAAGCTGTTCCTTGGTATACAAAAGATGAAGAAGTAAAGGAATCAGTGATAAAATGGGCAATTGATATTGGGCATAACATTGAATTGGATGCGTGGAAAAGATTATGGAAGGAGGGTTTTGAGATTCACAGGATGCATGGCTTTAAAGGAAAAATTGCTAAAAATGATGTATAGATGGCATTTGACGCCAGTAAAATTAGCTAAAATGTATAGGAAAAAAGAAAGAAAGTGTTGGAAATGTAAAAAGGCAGATGGGGACTATTTCCATATGTGGTGGACCTGCGATAAGGTAAAAAAATTTTGGGAAGCAATTTATAATGAACTCAAAAAAATATTTAGATATACTTTCCCCAAAAGACCGGAAGCGTGTCTATTAGGCTTAATAGGAACAGAAATTAAAATAGAAGATCAAAATTTGTTCATGTATGCTACAGCTGCCGCGAGGACCCTTCTGGCCCAAAGATGGAAAGTACAAGACATACCAACTATTCAGGAGCGGCAGGCGAAGTTGACAGAATATGCAGAACTTGCCAAACTGACAGGGAGGATCCGGGACCAGGGAGATCAAAGATACCAAAATAACTGGAGTAAATTTATTGAATATTTAAAGAAGAATTGTAAAGAGGTCAAGACACTAGCAGGATTGACATAATACCTCCAATGTATAATAGTACAAATTTGAGAATGATGTGTGTGATGGAAAGAGGATAAATATACCAGTTGTGGGGAGGGAGGGGGGTCGTGACTCGGCAGAGTCAAAGGGAATGTATGGTGCTATTACAATTTGTTGGAAAAGAATATGTAAGGAAAACAATAAAAATTCACTTGGAAAAAAATAGAAGCTGTTCCTTGGTCAAGCAACAAGAGTGAGGCCTTGTGGGTAACCAACAAGCCACATGGACTATGGGAAATAAGTTCTGTCCCTTTAACCTCAGACAAACAGGCTCCCAGGGTGTGAGAGGTTTATTATAGGAAAGGAAACCCCTGATTTAATGAAAGCTTTGACACCTGGGTCTGAAGTTATGTGCATTCCCTCAGTGATGTTATCTGCCCTTGATTGCCTGGGAATGTGCATCTGCATAAACTCCACGGAAAGGGAGGAACCCCTTTGATTTAGGCGCTGGGTTCTTAATGAGTCCAGCTGCCAGAAGTTAGATTGATTAGCCCGCAAGCCGGTCATTGGAGAATTTAAAAATAATCAAGAGTTATGATTGGTTTCGGGGGTTCCGACGCCACGTGCAAATCGGGGATAAAAGATCTTGGGAATGGCTGAGAAAGCGCGCTCTGCAATCCGCAAATCGCCCGGCTGCTGATGGTCCATCTAAGTAGCCGTCCTTTGTGATGGAGAATTGGGAAAGCCTCTGAATGCGGATCATTGAAAGGACTCTAACTATTCTATCTGTGCTTTAGTTGTGAGTATGTAAGTTAGTTAGATTTTACAATGTTCTTGTTTTTCTTGCTTGTAACTTACTAAAGATGTGCCTGCTATTTTAGCATGTTTTCTTATGTTCTTTTAAAATAAATTTTAAAGAAGAAACTGTTTTGGTTTGTGTGCCTTTCCGGGGGAAAAGCTAATTCCTAGCCTTACGCTTGGTTGCGCTCTACCGTAGAATTTCTGTCTGCAAGTCAGTAAATACACCTTGTGGAGTGGGGGTAACCAGCAATAACAGGGCACAGCCTTCTCCCTGGGTTGTGGCTCTGGGTTCCCCAGAACAGAGGGAGTGGTGGCAGCCTTACCGGTTCTATTTTGTCCTGTTTCTGTATAACGTAAATGTGCCTGCCAGCCCTGCTCAAGAAACCTGATCTGGCCGGAGAGCCAAGACAGGTGAGAGAGGGGCGAGCGGCTGGGGGCAAGTTTACCACAGAGGCAGTGAGAGATTTTACTTTCTTGGGCTCCAGGATCACTGCAGATGGTGACAGCAGTCACGAAATTAAAAGATGGTAAGAATTTTATTACAGTCAGCCAAAAAGGATTTTAAGTGTTCTCTTTTAGTACTACAAGCCAAGACTGATAATTCCCTCTTTGGTCCCAGAGGTTTGGGAGTAGCAGTCTTTTATACTTGCTTTAATTTTGAAATTTTCTTTCAGATTAGTTCCTCTACTTGTTTAGCCTGGATTTGGCCTTGAGTCGCTTGAGCTCCTGGTCTCAGTGCCAGAGATGACTTAGCAGTTGAGCTGCCTGGGCCCAAAACCTCTTTCTGCTCATCCTTAGAGCTGCTGAGAGATCCTATAAGGTCAGTAATAGGATCTGGCTCCTGCTGTTTCTTAGCCACCTCCTCATTTTCCTTATTTATGTAAAATGGAGTGATTTTTGCTTGTGCTTTCTTCAGAGAAGCTCTCTTTGGAGGAGGGTCTGTGGCACTTGGGGAGAGAACATTAATTTTGTAACTACTCTGGGTCAACACTGTCTTTCCCCTTAATTCCTCATCAAGTTTCCTTATACCATATGCCTTATACCATTTTCTACAATTCTATTATTTTCCTTGCTGTGATTTACTGAATGGAAACTGAGACTGGTTTTCCAGGTGAAACTTTTTCCAAACACTCCCCTGTATGAAGTATCTCATGGGAATTGTGGGTGGAGCTGCGAAGGAAGCTTTCCCAACATTTCAAGCACTTATTTCTTCCCACCTTTAGTTCTTTCATGTGAAGTGAGGCTCTCCTTCTGAACGAAGAGCTTTCCTTGATGGGAAGTGGACTGGGAGCTCCGACTAAAGTTCTCTCCACACTCTTAATATTTATATGATTTCTCCATTGTGAAGATTTTTCTTGTTCTCTCCCTTCTTCTTCCTTTCCAATTCACCACCTACAACCTACAATCTACTGGTATATGGCAGTATTATTATCATTAACAATAATAGCCTGTGGAAGAAATTGAACAATGCAAATGAATGCTTGTGAAAGAGGAAAAAGGGAAGGGAGTTACTGCCTTTTTTGGCTGATATTATCTAACTTATTTATGGGAACCGGAGATTTAAAAAGCCTGGCTCGTTCCAGGGATGGATTTAATTTGGCTCAGTCGTGGAATCTGCTCCATCTCCAAGCTCAGTCATTTCTTTGCTCAACCAAAAACAGACAGATGGTGAAAGGGAAAAAGAGAATTAGACAGGATGTACCTCCACGTCCCTGAAATCTCTGAAGCCTACATTGAAGAAGGCCTGGGCAGCTCAGAGCAGCCTCATCCTGGTTGGAAAAGGCAGGACTGGTGGAAGAATATTCCCAGACAGAACAAGAGATACATCTCCTATGGAGAGTTGTGGGTGTGTTAACATCTCAGATGCTGCAGGGGGCGCTATGGGGCTCCCTCAAAATAGAGGAGGTTTGTCCTTCAGAGATCTGCATGGAATTTCAAAACTGATCTTATGATCCAGCAGGGAGCCTTACCAGAGAGGCCACGATCCCAGGATTCTCCTCCTTGACTTCCTTCTGCAGAGCTCTCTGGTCAGGATCCAGCAAAGCCCAGTCCTCCTCTGTGAAAGGAACAGCTACGTCTTCAAAGCACACTGGACCCTAAGAGAAAAAGGGAGAAGAAAGATGATCTTCTACACATTGCTCTCTTCTTTTCTGTAACAATTTTGTTGCGTATTTTAATGATGGGTATTAATCTTTGTGTAAGTGGCACAACTCCATAAAACAATAATTTTATTATCTATATGGCACTCATCTTCAAGTAAATCTTTGCAAGCATTCCCATTTTCCAGATGGAAGGAGCTCCTCCCTCTTCATCTGGTGGGGTGGACCCTCCCCCTGCCCTCAAGCCAACTTCAAGGGGCACCAGGAGGGGGAGGGGAGGGAATGGTTGGTTGGTTGGCATCCGTCTGTCTTAGGAGACCATGGAAGAGTGTGTCTTTGGGAGTGAGATCCAGTTGTTGGAAGGTAACAGCGCCAGCCGTGGGTGTGGAGAGCGACAGGGGAGAGACATAAACAACTACCTGACATTCAGAAGACATCTTAAGGCAGCCCTGCTCAGGGAAGTTTTAAATGTATGACATATTAGTGTCTTTTTCGTTTCTGTGGAAGCCGCCCAGAGTGGCTGGGGAAACCCGGCCAGATGGGCGGGGTACAAATAATAAATTATTATTATTATTAATAGTAATATTATGTTGGATAACATTGTTGCATCTGGGACACAGGAAGTGGTCTGGAGATGCAGACGGGCTTTTCTTCTCCCTGTGCTCCCCCCACGTGGGAATGTTCCCCTCTGGCTGCAGCCTCAGTTCCCAAAGGTGACTTTTCCCTCCCTCTGAAGGGGGTTTATTTCCTTGACCCAAAGCCCCCTCTCTAAAAAGGAAGAGCAGAGCTGCTTATTTCCTGCAAAGTGGCCCCTCCCTGGCTTGGCAGAGAGGACAAGGGAGGACCCTCTGCTCCCCGACTTGGGGGTCTCCCCCCCCCAGGCATGATCTGAGCAGGGACCCCCATTCATTCTCCCTGCCCCCCTGGGACCCCCTTCTCCCCATTGCACCCTCAGGGGGAGGAGAGAGGAGACTCACCCGAGTCCAGGAGGGGCTTTTGCAAAGGAGAGAGAAGAAAGCAGGGAGGGAGGGGGAGGGAGGACCTTCACCCCCTCCCCTCCCCGTCCTCTCTAGGACTCCAGCTCTGCTCCTCTTAACCCTTGCCAGCCCAGCCCTCCCTCTCCCCTCTGCCCCACGGAGCCCCCTCGGAGCCCGACTCCGCGCCAGGGAGACGGGGCTTCCCCAGGAGTCTCCGCCTGCTCCAAGCAGCCTCCTCGAGAGCAGGCGCCAGGGAGGAAGAGGAAGCCCGGATCCCCCCGAGGGAGACACGTCTTCCCTCCAGCCCCCCATCTTCCCTGGGGCAGCCCCACTGAATTGGGGGGCCAAGCTGGGGTCCGGAGACAGGCGCCTCCTTCCCTGGGACTTGGAGGCTGGCAGGCCCAGCTGGGCTTCTTCCAGGCTCTGGAGTCAGACTTGGGGGGCCCTTTCCCCCCTCTCAGTCCACCACCCACACCCAGGGGGTCCCCTCAGCCCTCCTTCTTGGGGGTCTCCCTTCCCTCCCCCCTCTCAGTCCGCCCCCCACACCCAGGGGGTCCCCTCAGCCCTCCTTCTTGGGGTCTCCCTCCACTCCCCCCCTCAGTCCGCCCCCCACACCCAGGGGGTCCCCTCAGCCCTCCTTCTTGGGGGTCTCCCTCCGCCCCCCTCTCAGTCCGCCCCCCACACCCAGGGGGTCCCCTCAGCCCTCCTTCTTGGGGGTCTCCCTTCCCTCCCCCCTCTCAGTCCGCCCCCCACACCCAGGGGGTCCCCTCAGCCCTCCTTCTTGGGGGTCTCCCTTCCCTCCCCCCTCTCAGTCCGCCCCCCACACCCAGGGGGTCCCCACAGCCCTCCTTCTTGGGGGTCTCCCTTCCCTCCCCCGTCTCAGTCCGCCCCCCACACCCAGGGGGTCCCCTCAGCCCTCCTTCTTGGGGGTCTCCCTCCGCCCCCCTCTCAGTCCGCCCCCCACACCCAGGGGGTCCCCTCAGCCCTCCTTCTTGGGGGTCTCCCTTCCCTCCCCCCTCTCAGTCCGCCCCCCACACCCAGGGGGTCCCCACAGCCCTCCTTCTTGGGGGTCTCCCTTCCCTCCCCCCTCTCAGTCCGCCCCCCACACCCAGGGGGTCCCCACAGCCGTCCTTCTTGGGGGTCTCCCCTCCCCCCACCTTCCCCTCCAAGCTCCCCCCTCAGAAAAGGCGCCTTGCCTTTTCCCGCCAAAAAGGCTGGCTCCGCCCCCGCTGGCTTGGCAGCCAATCAGAGCGAGGCTCCAGCCCCCAGGGGGGGATTTCTGAGGGACTAAGTCCGCTGACTGGCCTGGCTCTGCTGTCCATCACAGGCCCAAACATGGTTGGCCTTGGGCAGCTTCCTTATTTCTATATCTATTATCCATGTTCTCCATTTTAAACTCATTTGCAATACCTGTGCCGGGTGCCAGAGCCCCACGAGGCCCAGGGGAGCCCCCAGCGGACTTTGACTGAGACCCACGGAGAGGAATAAAGCGAAGTTATGATGAGGGCCAACAGGCCTGGCTCCGGGTTCAACCGCACAATTTAAACTGAGAATACTTGAATAATAAAAAGGGAAATAAAAAGTGAATACAAGATGAGACAGTGAAATCAGTTATGATAAAGTGGGCACAAGACATTGGTCATAATATTATGTTTGTTGACTGGGAACAGTTATGGACCACTGAGGCAAGGAAGAAGGGCTACCCCTATGCTATCCATATAATCAGTTATCAGTAATCAATATATTCAATATATATTCATATATGCTTACACAAATCAAGGATTACAGTACTTTATAATCCATTTTGAATCAAAAGGGAAGCTGTGCCTTAGCTAACTGCAAACTGCTTGGAACAGCAAAGTTAGGAACCGACCTTTCCCCTAAAAACATCTGTGTACCCCGGACAAAGGGGAAAGACATGAATCAGAGATTCTGGTACAAATTCCCCTCAGATACAGGCTAAATTAATCCACAGAACAGGAAGAGCAAAACCACAAAATGTCCAAGCTCCCTGTCCTGTCATAACTGGGGGAAAGGTTAGACTGAGCGTCACTGGGAGCATCGGAAAGGAGAACTGGAATCCAGTGCTAGACCAGTGCTAGACCAGGAGCTAGAAGCGTGACAACTGCTTGCTGATTGGCTGATTTTTGCTGACCAAGTTATGAGTCCCTCATGATTGTCTTATGATCTATGATTTGCTGTGATTTGCTCAGGTATAAAGACCCCTGGATTTCTGTCAATCGGGGTCCCAGTTCTTTGGAAGATATTCCAACTGGGTCCTTATTGCCTGGCAATAAACTTCACCACCTTATTCTCCATTGCTGCGTCTGTTTGATCCTTATTTTGCACCTGGCCTAAACCACTTACTTTCACGTGCTATTCTTGCTGCTGTTGTGGCGTATAAAGTTCACGGCATGTAATGCCTTAAGAGAGAATATTATGAAAATGATTTACAGGTGGTACATGACCCCAGTCAAGCTTGCAAAAATCTACCATTTGCCCGATAATAAGTGTTGGAAATGTAAAGAAACTGAAGGTACTTTTTTTCACCTTTGGTGGACGTGCCCGAGGATTAAGACCTTCTGGGAAATGATATATAATGAAATGAAAAAGGTACTTAAATGTACTTTCCCTAAGAAACCAGAGGCCTTTCTCCTGGGCATGGTCAGCCAATTGGTGCCAAAGAAAGATAGAACATTCTTCATGTATGCTACAACAGCAGCAAGAATACTCATCGCAAAATATTGGAAGACACAAGAACTACCCACTCTGGAAGAATGGCAGACGAAGGTGATAGACTACATGGGACTGGCTGAAATGACTGGCAGAATCCGAGACCAGGGAAAAGAGACGGCGGAAGAAGATTGGAAGAAATTTTAAATTTATCTTAAGAAATATTGTAAAATTAATGAGTGTTAAAATGTTATGGTTATATAAAGTAAGTGGATTACAGCTGTAAAGATTAAGTAGAAGGAAAGAAAAGGAAACAACTAGATAAAATTAAGGGGGAGGATTTGCTGAAATAAATTTTGAAATTGGAATGCAGAAAGGGGAGGTATGGGGAAGTCGGTGAAATAAGTTTTAAGAAAAAAGGATTTGAAATTATACTTGTTTGTTTTTGTGTTTGTGTGTCTGTATTGTGTGTGTTTATATAAAATGTGAAAACTTAATAAAAATTTTATTTTTTAAAAAAGTGACTAGAGAACAAAGAAATAAAAAGGGGGGAAGGTATATTCCAATATATCACTATATATGCAAACAACTACAGTTCCATACAGGGATGCAGGTGGCGCTGTGGGTAAAAGCCTCAGCGCCTAGGGCTTGCTGATCGAAAGGTTGGCGGTTCGAATCCCCGCGGCGGGGTGCACCCCCATCGTTTGGTCCCAGCGCCTGCCAACCTAGCAGTTCGAAAGCACCCCCGGGTGCAAGTAGATAAATAGGGACCGCTTACTGGCGGGAAGGTAAACGGCGTTTCCGTGTGCGGCTCTGGCTCGCCAGATGCAGCTTTGCCACGCTGGCTACATGACCTGGAAGTGTCTCCGGACAGTGCTGGCCCCCGGCCTCTAGAGTGAGATGGGCACACAACCCCAGAGTCTGGCAAGACTGGCCCGTACGGGCAGGGGTACCTTTACCTTTACCTTTACAGTTCCATACATGCTTCTCTGGTATATAGGTACAGTGCTTTTTTTCTAAAAAATGTTCAGGGTTACTCTCATTTTGACTCAAGAAAATACCATTTTATAGTTCCAATTGGGAAAAATAAATACAGTAAATGGACAAAAGAAATCATCTCAAGAACTCAGGAGTCCTATTGTTGTGGATTAACTTTATTTAGTTATGCTTATTATGGATATATTGTTTTCCAACCTCAACATTTCCACTATTCAGAGGTACAAAACTGCTTGATTCTTTTAGTTTATTAACTGGCATTTAAATCCCATAGACAAAACAAATCCTCCTTAGAGGGCATCTTCTTCTCGCTGAGATTCCTGCATCGCAGGGGTTGGACTAGATGACCCTCGGGGGTCCCTTCCAATTCTGTGATTCTGCGAGTTGAACTGAACTGGCTGACACAGAACGGTGGAGTTGGGAACCCCAAAGGTCATCCACTCCAACCCCCTGCAATGTAGGTTGGGGGGGTCCGGCAGTGGAGAGACAAGGCTTGTCACTCCCCCCCCAGACACTGGTTCACCTCCCCCCGCTTTGTCCCCCCGGCAGACCCCTCTGGGGCCCTGTGGGGCGGTCAGGCCTCGGCCACCCCCCCGCCCTGGCTGAGTCCGGATGCCAGCGAGGCTGAATCCTCCTGCGAGATCAACGCTTACGCGCCGCAAGAGTCCCACTTTGTCCCCTGGGCGGAGGGGCTGGCGGGCGGAGGGGGCTGCCCCCGCGCCCTGGAGAGGGGCAAGTGGCTCATCGCCAGCATCCAGGCCCCCGACGCCGAGTTCGGGGTCAGCAGCGTCCTGCACACGGAGGAGGCCCTGCCTTGGAAGCAGCAGGATGGGGTCAGCAGCGTCACCACCACCGCAGGTACCACCTGGCGAGCGGAAGGGGAGCAGCCGAGCGGCCTAGCGGTTAGAGCCCTGCGCCAGCAGCCTGGGAGAGAGGGACCGAGGGCCAGTCGGTGCTCCTCAGGCAGGCCTGCCAGGCAGGGTCAGCGCGGGGGGATGGCAGAGGAAGGGGAGGGAGGCCGCCTTGAGCCCCTGGGAGGAGAAGGCGGGCCAAAAAGACCATGATATAATAATAATAATAATAATATATTATTATTTATACCCCGCCCACTCTGGGCGGCTCCCAATCAAGTGCTAAAAACAGTACAGCTTTATATTAAATATTAAAAACTTCCCTGAACAGGGCTGCCTTCAGATGTCTTTTAAAGATAGGATAGCTGCTTATTTCCTTCACATCTGGTGGGAGGGTGTTCCACAGAGCGGGTGCCACTACCAACAAGGCCCTCTGCCTGGTTCCCTGTAACCTCACTTCTCACAGCAAGGAAACCGCCAGAAGGCCCTTGGAGCTGGATCTCAGTGTCCGGGCTGAACGATAGGGGTGGAGATGCTCCTTCAGGTATACTGGGCTGAGGCCATTAGGGCTTTAAAGGTCAGCACCAACACTTTGAATTGTGCTCGGAAACGTACTGGGAGCCAATGCAGATCTCTCAGAACTGGTTTTATGTGGTCCCGGCGGCCGCTCCCAGTCACCAGTCTAGCTGCCGCATTCTGGATTAATTGCACTTTCCGAGTCACCTTCAAAGGTAGCCCCACATAGAGCGTGTTGCAGTTATCCAAGCAGGAGATAACTACAGCATGCACCACTCTGGCGAGACAGTCTGTGGGCAGGTAGGGTCTCATCCTGCGTACCAGATGGAGCTGCCCTGGACACAGAATGGACCTGCGCTTCCATGAACAGCTGTGAGTCCATAATGACTCCCAGGCTGCGCACTTGGTCCTTCAGGGGCACAGTTACCCCATTCAGGACCAGGGAATCCCCCACACCTGCCTGCCCCGTCCCCCAAAAACAGTACTTCAACAGTAACCTCAATCTGTTAGCTGCCATCCATCCTCCAACCGCCTCCAGACACTCACACAGGACCTTCACCGCCTTCACTGGTTCTGATTTAAAGAAGAGGTAGAGGTAGATTTAAATGAGGAGTGCCCAAAGTCATTGGTTCCACCCTCCTGGGGGCGGGAGATAGGGGGCACCGTGGGGCAAGTGGAAAGCGGAAATCTCTGTGTTAAGTCGTGGGTTGACATAGCAGCCGGCACAGCGATTTCTTCAAGTAGCTCTTTATTATGGTAAGCTGGAATAGAACTGACTGCGAACAGCTCAGCCGGCCTGTATTTATAGGCAGCCGGCTGTCAACATTGTAACCACAACAGCCCAGAGTTCCCGCCTAAAATAACTGCTGCGGACCTGAGTGAAAACTATCTACACACCTGAGTGAAAACTATATACAGTATCCCCCTGTTGGCCCAGGGTGAAACTACACTACATAACACCCCTCCCCACCGAGATAAGGCGTTAGTTACAATCGTAATGGTTTCCTTATATACAGCACTCCGCGTAATGGTTCAATTAAGCACAAAAGCATATCGGTTACATTTCCCATACTTAGACCAACAGTGATACCTGTCCAACAACATAGTCCTTTAAATAAGTTGGGCGCTTGGAAACTCTGCCAGACCGCCGGGGACTGGTAGCCAAGTCCGGAGGGCCACACAGTTCTCGCTGAGGCTGTGGTGCGACCCTAGGTGGCGTTGGAACCAACTCCCCTGGATCCGCTGCTGTGGGTGGAGCCTCCGCAAGTGGAGTGGTCTGAGTCTGTTCTGAAACGGCTTGGTTCGGCTCCACGCTGGCAGCTTGCGAGGGAGGTGTAGGTGGGGCCTCGCCATCTGTACGTGTCTCTTCTGGAGCCGCAAGCGCAGTTGGGGGCACCCCGGTAGTGTCCAAGTCCCCAACCCTGCGCCTAAGCTGGTCTATGTGCCGTCGCCACAAGCGTCCGTCTTCGAGTGCCACCTGGTACGAGCGAGGTCCAGTGACTCCCACTACTGTGGCTGGCACCCAAGGGATGTCCCCCACATAGTTCCGGGCAAAGACCTGGTTTCCTGGGACAAATGACCGTGGTGCGTTGGCACAGCCTGGGGGTTCAGCCACGGCAAAGTCTGGGTGTAGCCGGTCGAGCGGTGACCTGAGGCGGCGGCCCATAAGCAGTTCAGCCGGACTCCTCCCTGTGGCCGCATGAGGGGTGATGTGTTGCACGAACAAGTATTCGGCGACCCGCTCATGCCAGTCTCCCCGGTCCAGGCGTGCCAGTGCCTCTTTTGTCGAGCGCACCATTCTTTCCGCTTGCCCGTTGCTGGGTGGATGAAAGGGTGCCGTTAGGGCATGGCGGATGCCCAGTCCCAAAAGATACCGCTCAAACGTGCCTGACGTGAACTGCGGTCCGTTGTCAGAGACAAGGACATCAGGACACCCATGCGTTGCAAACAGGCCTCGCAGCACCCGGATGACAGCTTCGGTAGTGGTGGAGGGCATCAGGGCGACCTCCAGCCATTTGGAATAGGCGTCCACCACTACCATAAAGGTCCTGCCGTGAAAGGGGCCAGCCAGATCGATGTGCACCCTCGACCAGGGTGTCTTTGGCGTCTCCCAGGTGTGTCCCTTAGCTGCCGGTGGTGCAGGCCTCGACTCCTGGCACGCTTGACAGGCGGACACCCAGGCAGTGATGGCATCGTCCATATTAGGCCACCAGACGTAACACCGAGCCAACGCCTTCATTTTGACAATTCCCGGGTGGCCAACGTGCAGAGCCTCCAGGACGCGCTGACGGAGTCCCTGGGGAATCACGACGCGGTCTCCCCACAGCAGGCAGCCGCGATGAGCTGAGAGTTCATGTTGTCTGGTTGCGAAGGGCTGGAACTCCGATGCAAAAGGCCCTTGTGGCCACCCCCTCCACACCCAGTTGAGCACCCGGCTGATGGTGCGATCCTGGGCAGATGCGGTGGCCACAGTGGCAGCCGATACAGGCGCTGCCGGAAGATCCTCAATCAGGAGGAGCGATGAAGCTGGAGCCGGGTCTTCCACAAATGCTGGAAGAGGGCAACGGCTGAGGGCGTCGGCATGGCCCATCGATTTCCCCGGGCGATGGATGAGCCGGTAGTGGTAGGCAGCCAGGAAAACAGTCCATCGCAGCATGCGTGGTGAGAGGACCGGTGGAGTTGGACGATCACCGGCGAGGAGGCCCAGGAGTGGCTTGTGGTCAGTGATGAGGTCAAAAGTCCTGCCATAGAGGTATTCATGGAACCTCTTCACTCCAGCCACAAGTGCCAATGCCTCCTTGTCGAGCTGGCTGTAATTCCGTTCCGTCGGAGATAGTGTCCTGGAAAAGTAGGCGAGCGGTGCTTCTCTTCCATCTGGAAAACGGTGACTAAGGACAGCACCGATGCCAAAAGGTGAGGCGTCGCAGGCAAGGACCAGCGGCCTGGATTCACTGTACTGTACCAGCACACTGTCTGAAGAAAGGAGAGCCTTGACCGCGTTGAAGGCCGCCGTCTCCCGATGACCCCAGGCCCAAGGCGTCTTAGTGCTAAGGAGTCGGTGAAGAGGCTCAGCCACTGTGGCTTTGTGGGGCAGGAACATGTTATAAAAGTTCAGCAGCCCCAGGAATGCCTGCAACTCCGTTTTGTTCTTTGGGGTGGGGGCCTGCTGGATAGCGCGGATCTTGGATGTGGTTGGATGAAGACCGGAGGCATCGATAAGATAGCCCAGGAACTCTACCTGTGGAACGGCGATCTGGCACTTCTCCCTCTTTACCTTGAGCCCGGCCTCCTGGAACCTGGTCAGCACGGCACGGAGGCGCTCGAAACAGCTGCTGGTGTGAGTCTGCAGACACCAAGACGTCATCAAAAATATGGTACCACGCCCGGAAGCCCTTGCAGGAGACGCTCCATAAGGCTTTGGAAGATGCCAGGAGCCACACTCACCCCGAACTGCAACCGGCGGCAACGGAAAGCCCCCCGGTGGGTGACGATCGTCTGGGCTTCAGCAGTGGCATCATCGACTGGCAGTTGTTGATAGGCTTGGGCAAGGTCCAGCTTAGCGAAGACCTTACCCTCACCCAGGGAATGCAGCAGGTGTTGGACAACGGGAACCGGGTAAGCGTGCTGCTGAAGTGCCTTGTTGATCGTGCACTTGTAGTCAGCGCAGATTCTCACCGACCCATCTGGCTTGACAGGCGTGACGATGGGGGTTTCCCACTTTGCGTGGTCAACCGGCTCCAAAACTCCTTGGGCGATCAGTTTGTCCAGTTGTTCGTCCACCTTAGCCTTGAGAGCAAAGGGAACCCGGCGTGGCTTTAGCTTGATGGGGGCGACTTGTGGATCAAGGCTAAAGGAGATGGGCGTACCTGTATATTGGCCCAAGGTGCCGTCAAAAACCTCGGCAAAGTCTTTGACCAGACCCTCAGTCTCTGCGTTAGAGATGCAGTTGATGCCGGTGACTTCCAGGCCGAGGGCATCAAACCAGTCTAGCCCTAGGAGGCTTGGCCGCTGACCTTCGACCACCACCAACCGGAGCAGGCCCGAAAAATCCTTGAAGGCGATCCGGAACCGGCCAACGCCTACCACGGGAATGTCGTTTCCCTGGTAGTCTCTCAGGTGTACGCGGTGAGAGTCGAGTTGCCTTTTGGACACTCTGGGTACCAGTCTTTTGATGGTGCTCCATGACACGATGGACAGGGCAGACCCGGTGTCGATCTCCATGTCACATGGAGCTCCTTCAATGAGCACCGTGACGTTCAGCTTGCGTCGCGTAGGCGAGTCGGTTTGGCCAATCGTGGTTCCAGACGGGCAGCGGCAGTTGGTGAGAGCGAAACAACTTTCCTTGGCAGACTGGAGTGAAGACTTGGACTTGCGAGTCGATGAAGGGGGGGTGTCAGACGGAGCCGATCGGCAGACCTTAGCGATGTGGCCCCTTCTGGAACACTTCCTACAGATGGCGTCTCTGAATCGACACTTGGCACGGGAATGGTTGCCTCCGCAGCCAGCACATTCCGGTTGGCCCTTGGACTTCTGTTGGAACTTCCTGCGCTCCCGCTTTGTCTGGTGCACGTCATCGTCTTCACTGGAGGATGCCTCCTCACTGCTGGCCTCTTCATGATGCACCGGAACTGGCTCCCTAGCAAGACGCGGGCTGCTGGACTTGCGGATCTCCTGGGCGGAGCGTTCAGCAGCTTCTGAGGCCACAGCCTCCTCAATGGCTTTCTGTAGCGTGAGGTCTGGCTTGGCTAGGAGGCGCCGTTGCAGATGGATGTCCCGGACCCCCGCAGACGATTCGATCCATCAGGGCATCGTCTAAGTCTCGGAACTCACAGTGCATTGCAGCCTGTCACAGGGCGGTGGTGTAGTTGCTGATTGACTCCCCCTCTGCCTGGTTCCGGTGGTAAAACGCATGGCGGGCAGCAATCTTGGACGGCTTTGGCGCGTAGTGGTTGCGGAGCTTCTCTTGGATCGTGTCCCATGGTGTTGCCTGGACTGCTTCAGGCGCAATCAACGCTCGGGCCGTCTCAAACACCTCAGGCCCACAGAGGCTGAGGAATAGGCCCCGCTTCCGCTCCTGTGATACTTCTGTCAGCTCGTTGGCTTGGAGGTAACAGTCGAACCGAGCGAGGTAGGAGTCCCATGATTCAGAGGCTGGCGCAAAAGGCGGTAGAGGCACAAGTGAAGCCATGATTCCGATGCCGGCGTGAAGGGCGATGGATGGAACACAGTGCTCTAGCCAGAACAGTCAGCTCTGAATTGGTTCTGCCCAGTGATTTCGCTCAGTGATTTCGCTCTGTGATTCAGCTCAGTGATTCAGCTCAGTTCAGAGGCTGGCCGCATCTGGCTGTGCTCTGATGTCCATCCAACCCACCCTCGTCGCCAGTGTTAAGTCGTGGGTTGACATAGCAGCCGGCACAGCGATTTCTTCAAGTAGCTCTTTATTATGGTAAACTGGAATAGAACTGACTGCGAACAGCTCAGCCGGCCTGTATTTATAGGCAGCCGGCTGTCAACATTGTAACCACAACAGCCCAGAGTTCCCGCCTAAAATAACAGACGCGGACCTGAGTGAAAACTATCTACAGACCTGAGTGTTGGCCCAGGGTGAAACTACACTACATAACACTCTGGATCAAATGCATCTGCTGGGTTGACTACTTGAGGTCAACCAGGCGTGGCGTTTGATTGGCAGAGGCGCCGCCGATCGGCCTCTTCCTCCCGTCGCCAGGAGTCTCAGCTTCGTGGGGGGTTCCAGCTTTGCGGCAGGTTCTTAAATGGCTGGGCCTGATCCGGCCCCTGATTCAGTTTGCCGACCCCTGATTCAGAATCTATTAAGACCATGGCAATATTGACAGTAAAAGCAGTTGAGAAACCTTCCCCTCCCCCCACTTGACATTGTTGATTGGTGGAAACTGGCACTGGCCAATTGACTCCCCTTTCCCACATTTGCCAGTACAAGAAGCTCAGCTGGTACAGCCTGAGGCTCTTGATTTCAGGGTTCTGGGTTCAAGATTCCTGCCTTGTGGGGGGTTGGACTAGATGACCCTCGGGGGCCCTCCTGGCTCCAACAACCTTTGGAACTCCCTGCCTCTTGATACCAACCAGGCGCCTTGGCCAGACTCTCTTTGGTCGCCTGCTAAAAACATCCCTGCCCAGCGGCTCAGAAATATTGATCTCCGTTTCAGCTTTCTGCATGCTTTCAAGTATTCCTGTCCATTTCCCTGGGTTTTCTGGTCATTCACCTTTCCCTGCTTCATTTTCCTCCTTTTCAGCTTCTGAAGAAAAACCCAAATCGGAGAAGCCCAAATCCGAGGTCAGTGTCCAAGATGCTCCCAAGACTGCCAAGTTCTTTTGATTCCTCATTTTTCTATTCTTTAAAAAAATATATCTCTATGCCACCCACTGAGAGGCAGTGTGGTGCAGTGGTGAGAGGGCCAGACTAGGCCCTGGCAGAGAGATCTGGGTTCGAATCCCCAGTCCCTGGCCATGATGAAGCTCGCAGGGGGCTGGGGGGCAGGATCCAGTCTGCCTACTTCTCAGGGTTGTTGTGGAGCAATTCCTGCAATTGCAACCCCCAGCCAGCTAATGTTTCGTCTCTGAAACGGGTCAGTATCTTTTTTCAATTTCCTTTATTCGACCGATAGTCAGAATTAAAACATTACACAATAATTATAAACTATAACATCATAGGGGGTACATAAATAAGGTAGGGCCACAGTACTAGACCTCTCACAGATAACCCATGTCAAAGCATTCAGTTATACGTTTCCGACACTTGAGCGCCAGGAAAAGAAATTTAGCCACTGACAAGGTTGTTTTCCCAGAAGACTTACTTAGCAGATATGCTGTCTGCTTTCCTCTTTGTCGGGAACTGAGCTGGGGTAAGTATGGAGTTATAAGATACTGTCTTAAATCGTTGTAGGTGGGACAGCTCAGTAAAATGTGCTCTGTGGATTCTACCTCACCCAATGCACAGTGGCATAATCTCTGGTCATATGGGACTCCTCCATATCTTCCCTTCAGAACCGCCGAGTCAAGAACATTCAGCCTAGCCGCAGGAAATAGTCTGCGGTATTCCACGTAGTGGATATCCGCCAAGTAGCGAGCTGGAGCAGCCCGATACAACTGCTCCCCCAGAAACAACCCAGGTTTCACACGGGCTATGTCCTCCTGTCTGGCAATATCCCTTCATCTTTGCGCGATCACCGCCTTTGCGTGGCTATACGTCATGGACTCTATATAAAGGGAGGACAACCCGCACTTCTGGACTTCCTCCACTATCTCCCCTTCCCATGGAGATTTAAAGTTATCCCTCAGAATCAAGGGGGCCAAACCCACCGGTCTGAAACAGAGCTTGAGCCATAGCCATAACTTCGCTTTCAGGGCCACATACCTAAAGGCTTGACAACCGGTTTCCAGTCTCATGATCGCGCCTGCCACGGAGGGGGGGATCCTGAGTATGGCCCTGACGAATTGGGTTTGGATAGATTCCAATTTTTCAAAATCCCTACGTGAGCCCAAGGCAATGCCCACCAGCAGAAGGGGGAGGACTTTCATTTTAAAGAGTCGCAAGGCAACTTTGACAGTTTGTGCCTGTTTCTTGGAGTACAGGGTTCTAATCACCAGGGCTGCTTTGGATGCGTTCGAGGCTATGTATTCTCTGTGTGCCAGGAAGGACCTATTTGATCTTACAACCTGACCCAGGTATTTGAAGCAACTGACCTGCTCTAAAGGAATACCATTAATTGACCATAAATTAGGTTTCAGCCGAGCAGCAAAGACCATTATTTTGGTCTTGGCATAATTTAATTGGAGCTCGTGTTGGGTCTCATATTCATGAAGAGCTCGAAGCATCCTCCTTAACCCGATGGGAGAGATAGCTAATAGGGTGGCATCGTCCGCATACAGTAGGACATTCAAGGCTCGTCCTGCCAGTTTTGGTGGATGGAAATCAGCATTTGCCATATGCACCACTAGCGAATTAATATAGAAATTAAACAGAGCAGGGGCAAGCAAACAGCCCTGTCTTACCCCCCTAGTGGTGGCAACCGGATTGGAGACTAGCCCCTTACTATCTAGCCTAATCCTCAAGAGGGTATTTGTATGCAAATTAATAATCAGCAAGAGAAGGCGGCGGTCGATAGATGTCGCAGCCAATTTTGTCCATAGCTGGTTCCTGGGGATTAGATCAAAGGCCTGCTTAAAGTCTATAAAGGCGACGTGGAGGGCTTTTAGGCCATTGCCAGCGTACTTGGTGGCCAAGTGATTTAGGATTAAGATTTGGTCTGTTGTTGATCTTCCGGGGCGGGGGTCAGTACCTTACGGATTTCTCTTCTTTCTGCAGTAACGGACTTTGGGCAACCCAGCTCCCGGCTTGATTTGTTGCCTGTCTCCGGATCCCGTTGAAAGGGTGAAGTGGATCGTAGGCCCCCGGGCTCCTGGGTCCCTCCTCTTTCGCTGCCCAGTCTTGCCCCACTGGTCCCTTGTGGGAAGCCCCCTTCCCCTTCCTTTTTGGGGGTCAGGGGTCTGCTTGGCTTCGCATCCTGCAGATTCACAGCTGTGATTTTAAGGAGGGGGCCAGATCTGTGGATAGCAAAAGCCCCCCTTTCTGACAGTCCCTGCCCCTCCTCACTTGCGTGCTGTGAAATGATTAATTGGAAGGGAGCCCTGAGGGTCATCTAGTCCAACCTTCCGTAAGACAGGAATCGCAACAAAAGCATCTCTGAACTCTGACTCTGCACATGCTCTAGGAGACTCTTGAGGGGGGCCTGTGTTGTCTTTGGGATTGTGGGAGAGAACCTTTTTGGAGTAGTAATAATAATAATAATAATAATAATAATAATAATAATAATAATTTATTATTTATACCGCGCCCATCTGGCTCAGTTTCCCCAGCCACTCTGGGCGGCTCCCAAGCAGTGTTAAAAACAGTACAGTGTTATATATTAAAAACTTCCCTGAACAGGGCTGCCTTAAGATGTCTTCTGAATGTCAGGTAATTATTTATCTCTTTGACATCTGATGGGAGGGCGTTCCACAGGGCGGGCGCCACTACCGAGAAGGCCCTCTGTCTGGTTCCCTGTAGCCTCACTTCTCGCAATGAGGGAACCGCCAGAAGGCCCTCGGCGCTGGACCTCAGTGTCCGGGCTGAACGATTGGGGTGGAGACGCTCCTTCAGGTATACAGGACCGAGGCCATTTAGGGCTTTAAAGGTCAGCACCAACACTTTGAATCGTGCTCGGAAACGTACTGGGAGCCAATGCAGATCTCTCAGAACCGGTGTTATGTGGTCTCGGCGGCCACTCCCAGTCACCAGTCTAGCTGCCGCATTCTGGATTAATTGTAGTGTCCGGGTCACCTTCAAAGGCAGCCCCACGTAGAGCGCGTTGCAGTAGTCCAAGCGGGAGATAACTACAGCATGCACCACTCTGGCGAGACAGTTCGCGGGCAGGTAGGGTCTTAGCCTGCGTACCAGGTGGAGCTGGTAGACAACTGCCCTGGACACAGAGTTAACCTGCGCCTCCATGGACAGCTGTGAGTCCAAAATGACTCCCAGGCTGCGCACCTGGTCCTTCAGGGGCACAGTTACCCCATTCAAGACCAGGGAATCCCCCACACCAACCCGCTCCCTGTCCCCCAAAAACAGTACTTCTGTCTTGTCAGGATTCAACCTGAGGAACCTGAGTAGGGGAGACTGACTTGAGCAAAATCAGCATATCCCTCCCACCCCAAAATAAATAAATCAGAATGTGGGTCATTGGGTATCCCTTTACCTCCCCCTCCGGGGCATTTGAAGTGGTACAGTCCAGAGCCAAGTTTATCCCCTCTAGAGACATGGGTGCAAAAGGAGCCCGTTTCCCCACAACGTCCCTGCAGAGACGGCCAGGCAGAGCAGCTTTTGTTCCCCTCGGCCCTCTCTCTCTCGATACGAACAAGGGCGTCCGCGGTTTCTTTTCAAGAAAACCTCCTGCCGTGCTGGTTTAGCTCAGTGCGCGGGGACTGACCGAGCGGGTGGCAGGATCCACGGGCCACATTTACAAGCCTGGTGGGCCAGATCCGGCCCGTGGACCATAGTTTGAAGATGCCTGGTCAAAAGCCTCCTCCATTTTTGGAGGGCCAGGAAGTGAGTGGCCCCTGCAGCTTCGCCTGCTGGAAAGGGGGCGACATGCCAGAGGCCAGCCTGGCAGGGTTGTTGTGGAAGGAGGAGCTCCTGGGAGGAAAGGAGGGGCGAGGGAAGTGCCATTCTGTCAGTAAAGTGCCTCCGTCTCTCACTCCTCCTGTGTGTGTGTGTGTGTGTGTGTGTGTGGCACACAACTGTATTTTTCCATGTATAAGATGAGCTTTTTTAACCCCAAAATGAGGTTCAAAATTTACACGGGTAGTAATGGGGCGGGGAGGGGAATGCCAAAAATCGCTCGCCCACCAGCAAGCAGGATCGGGATTGGCAGATATATGTAAATATACAGCCAGCAAAAGGGGATTCAGTGCAACAACGGAAACTATTAACCACGCAACCTATGATCTCGTATGAGGGAGACTCTGAGGAAAGGGGATTAAGATGCCTGCTTCCCCATCCCCAGTGGATTTAAATGTCCAAAGATTAGGAAAAGAAGAAAGAAGAGGAAGCAGGATTGGATGAACATTATAAGAGACCATCATTTTCCATTGTGACTCGGCTGAGATTTGTTGGAACAGTTTTAATAAGGCTTTACAGAAACTGGGCCTAGAAACTGGAGAAATACCAATTTGGATTATTAGATGATCATTATAAGAGTCATATTGAACTGTCTGAGTGGATAAGATTTGAAGGCTGGGCTAGGGAGGGAGATGAAGGGAAAGTGTCATCTTGCTGAAGGGGAGGAGAAAGGCTGGGTACTAAATGCAGCTGGGTTTATTCTGGAGGGCATGTTCTGAATAATTGTTGCTACGGATGATTTTCAGACGGATATGGGAGTTTCCTTTTCATCTCTTTTTGGATTTTTTCTATTAAGATTCCTTTATTTTGAATTTAGGAGGACACACACAGGAAGAGGAGAGTTGGAGGTGGGAGGGACCTGCAAGGAACGCAGGCAAGGAAGGATCTCTCAGGGTGGGATATGGGGAGAAGAGGGGGTCACACAGGGGAGAAGTGGGGGAGCCTGTCTTTCTATGGGTTGATGAATTATATGATATATATGATACAAATGTGATAAAGGGTATTTTAGTTATTCTCCCCCCATTTCTCTTTTCTATACAGTGGTGCCTCAAATAGAATCCGTTCCGCGAGTCTCTTCGTCTTGCGGTTTTTTCGTCTTGCGAAGCAAGCCCATTAGCGGCTTAGCGCTATTAGCGGCTTAGCGGATCAGCTGATAAGTGGCTTAGCGGATCAGCTGATAAGCGGCTTAGCGGATCAGCTGATAAGCGGCTTAGCAGCTTAGAAAAAGGGAGGGAAGGGGGGGGAACCCGCAGGAACTTGCAAGACATTGTCGTCTTGCGAAGCAAGCCCATAGGAAATTCGTTTTGCGAAGCACCTCCAAAACGGAAAACTCTTTCGTCTAGCGAGTTTTCCGTCTTGCAAGGCATTCGTCTTGCGGGGCACCACTGTACAATTGTGTTTTGTTAGAGTTGTTAAACAATTTTCGCTTTATTATTTTTATTTTCTTGTTTTCCCTCTGTATGAATTCTTTGATGGGAAATGAGACTTTCCTTCTGACTGAAGCTCTTTCCACATTCCAAGCACTGATATGGTTTCTCCCCTGAATGAATTCCTTGATGGGTTGTGAGATGGGTGCTTTTGTGGGATGTGAAACACAAGAGCAATCAAGTACAGTGGTACCTCAGGTTAGGAACTTAATTCGTTCTGGAGCTTCATTCTTCCCCCCCCAAAAAAAAAATTATTCATTTTATAACACTAATAAACAACACAAACAGAAAAACAAACAATACAAATTATTGTATTGTCCTTATTTTTTCTAAACATTGTTAGGTGGGCTTCCCAAATCCCCCCTATCTGATTTTCATTTTACCTCATCTTTAGCAGTTACATATATCATAATTTCTAACCTTTTTTTAAAATCACGCTTACTTTAACCATAAAAATATTCATTTTATTACTTACAGATAATACTATTTTAAAATACACTATCTTCTACTTCTAACCCTACAGCCTTTCTTAATAAATGTGTTTTTCAACACTTTTTTCAGTTCATTATAAATCCTTTCCCAGAACTCTTTTACCTAGGGGCACGTCCACCACATGTGGTAAAAGGTTCCTTCTTTTTCCTTACATTTCCAGCATTTATTATCATGAGTATGATACATTTTTGCTAACTTCACTGGTGTTAAGTACCATCTACACATCATTTTCATCAAATTTTCTATGAATATATTACATGCTGTGAATTTAATTCCTTTTTTCCACAATTTCTCCCAATCCACCATCATAATATTGCGTCCCACATCCCCGGCCCATTCAATCATTACAGATTTCACTTGTTCATCTTTCGTATGCCATTCCAGCAATCAATTATACATCTTAGATAGATTTTTTGTTTTTGCATCTAATAATTCCATTTCCAGTTTGGATTTCTCTGTTTGAAAACCAATTTTCTTATCCATTTTAAACACTTCATTTATCTGAATGTACTGGAACCAATAATCTAATTTATCTTTCAACTGATCATAATATTTTAATCTAAATTGGTCCCCTACTTCCATCAAAATATCATTATACTTCAACCACGTGGCGTTCATATTCAACCTTTTATGGGTCTTAGCTTCAATGGTGATATCCACCTGGGTGTTTTCCTTTCTAGCAAATTCTTATATCTTATCCAAACATTGTACATAGATTTTCTAATTACATGATTTTTAAATCCTTTGTGAGCTTTTATCTCCTGACAGTAAGAGCTGTTCGACAGTGAAATTTGCTGCCAAGGAGTGTGGTGGAGTCTCCGGCTTTGGAGGTCTTTAAGCAGAGGCTTGACAACCATATGTCAGGAGTGCTCTGATGGTGTTTACTGCTTGGCAGGGGGTTGGACTCGATGGCCCTTGTGGTCTCTTCCAACTCTATGATTCTATTATCTTCTCATAGCACAAATATGTTAGGATATTTCCGTTCCACCTTAAAAGGGATCAGGCTTTGTGAATCACAGAGTCTGTGTATTTCCTGTTCACAGGATGTTTGTGTTTTGATAGAGCTGTTCTCTCTCTCTGCGCCTGAACACGCAAGCAGGCAGTCATGTTTTTTCTTTGTCCTGACCGACGCTGAATAAAATTCTAAATAATACTCTCCTGAGTGCGTCTTTCGCTGTACGAACTCTGCGATAGAGCGTGCATGCGCTCTGGAATGTGGAAAGCTATTTTCTGGAGCTCGTGTCGCTAATTGCTGATACTGTATCTGCGGGAGGTCGATGGACGTCCGGAGTCGACGTGGAGGCAGTGATGGCCTATGTCTCCCTGGCAGTATCCCAACAACAGGTTTCAGGCCCAGATTCACGGCACTTACAGGAGAGTAGGACTGCGACAGACTGCTGAGGTATGTGTGGGAAAAGCGAGAGCAAAGGCTTTTCTGTTTGCCGCGGCAAGAGACTCTGATGTCCGGCTGGCCTAATTGGCCTGGGAGCCGAGCCAAGCAGGCTTCGTGATTAATGGGAGCCAAGATAAGGAGTCTCTGAAGTGAAAAAGACTCACGGCTCAAGTAAAAAGCTGGAATGGAGTTTTTCCAAGCTTCTGAGGCTGCTGAATG